TTGATGAGCAGTATGCATACACAATGTGACCTAGACAACACATCCAGTACAAAAAAGCCAATTATGATTTTAGATTATAATTCAACCAAAGGTGGAGTTGACACATCAGATCAAATGTTAAGGCTGTACACAACTAAAAGAATGACTAGAAGATGGCCAATGGCAGTTTTCAGTAATATGTTAGACATAAGTGCTTTAAATGCCTATATAGTATGGATTTTGTTGAATCCTGACTGGAATGTTAACAAATCACATAAAAGAAGATTATTTCTGCTGGAACTTGGAGAAGTAAATTTTTGAGACAAGTCTGATATATTTGCAATATTAAAATTATTTAATTTTTTTCACAGAGTATGATTAACTTTGGCCACAAGGATGACTTGGTAGAGACAAAGATTCCTGCTATACTCAGCAAATCCGGCAGATGTCATGCTTGTCCTAGAATAAAGGATAAGAAAACAGCACTAAAATGTTCAAAGTGCAACAAACCAACATGTAGAGATCATGTTTTTATGATATGTAGGAATTGTTCTACAAATTGAACAAATTACATTCACTTTTTGTGTTAAAAAATTAAATAAATTTTTTGTAACAATAAAAACAAATTATTATATTGTTTTGTTCATTAAAATTGTTGTTATTCACCAAACGTGTTTTATTTGCATGATAAAATTTATTTTGTGTCATCATTATTTGTTGTTATCATCAGATTTAACCTTGGGGTAGAAATCTACCCCATTCGTCTTCAGTGGATGAAAAAAATCGCCGTCATCGCAGGGTTAAACCTATTGCATTCGATGTGTCTAAAACGTCTTCCTTTGAAAGTACTGAACAATTTTTTATTTCCTTCAGCAAGTTTACTACATCTGGTGTTATGATCAAATTTTCGTTGCAATATTTATCATCCATTCAGAACCTTCTATTTTAGGTTGCACTACTACATCTATAATATTTGCTTTTCCTTGAAGTCCCAAAACAGAAATCTTGCCTTGCACATTTACTCTCGACCAATCGATAAACCTTGGATGGATACAACTAATCTTTGCCTCTCCATCGACAAGGGCCTTCGGTATTTTTATACCATCGACATATATATCAACAAACTCCTTTCGATACAATTTTTCCTTTTCAATATTCGCTGATCTTTCTGTAAACAGAAATTCATCTTCCTTTATTTCTGATTCGTGATATACTGAATTTTTTTGAATTTTTACCGGCTGAGTACAGTTTTTCGCTAAATGACCTGGCCTTTGACATCTGAAACATGGTCCCTTCTCCATAGCTTCTTCTTTGTTTTTGTTTATAATTTTAATTCCATTTCCCTACGATGGGGTTTGGTGCTTTTATATGTTGCCACATAATTATCAGCTGATCGAGCCAATTTATCACAGTCCAAACAATCCTCTTGTTTTTGACTGAGAATAAAATTTAAACATCCTCTGGGTAGTAATTCCTTCACTCTATCAGCCATCAATAAACTTAATAATCTATCAAAATTTTCTCCAACATTCCTGCTTTTTAAATAATATATCCATGTGTTTTTCAACTTTGACAATAGGAGCTGGTATGTTTCATTTGGTAATTACCTGATGTTAAAAAATTGTTCGCTTAACCTGACTGGGCTCACTTTGAACTCGTTCTTGTTCATTCTGTAGGTTAAAGCTTTTCTGTCTTATTGCAAGTTCTTCCTCCTTTATCTTCATTTGATATTTAAATTTTTCAGCCTTTCTCCCCATCTCCTTTTCTCGTAATTTACTTTCTCGTTCGTGTTCTTTATTTTTACTCTCCATATCTTTTTCCCGTAAATTTAATTCTTGCTGCTTCTATTTCTACTCGCTGAGAAATTTCCATTTCTCAAATTCGATAGGATTCTGAGACTCTTCTAAAGTATTTTCCTCTGGATTTTCTTCTGTTTCTAAAGGTTCGTTGGCAATATATCGATGATTAATTCTTATCTAGACATCGACTGTGCCTCCGTTTCATCTACTCCGAACTTGATTATCTTCTTAATCAACCGTTCAGTCGACATTATTTTATCTCTGCTGGTATATCTTTTTCCATAATAATTCGATATCAAACTCCAACCAAGCGCCGTCTATGTTGATATAAAATCTCCGTCGGTAATCGGAATCCATCAATATACCGACAAAAATCCGTCGACGTCAAACTTCAACCAGCAATTACTCCCTGAACTACTTGGATGTCACTGGATATTCCCCGGTAATCAGAATCCACTGAGGCAATATATCACACCGCTGCCACCAAAAATGTCACGGACTTTTACCCGAGATTATTATATCATATAATGATCACGCAAAATTCTGTTTAATATCCTGTCGACTGCGCCAGATGTCAGTTTTTTTTTACGAAATATATAATTCAAACTACGAGACGAGTTAATTTCAAACTTTTTTTGAAATACAAACTCAAAATCAATAAAAGAAATTTTTATATAATGTCATAAATCATCAAATGTTAATGTTAATGTTGATGTTAACATCAAATTAATATTATAACGTTCAATTCAAAACACCAGAAACAACTAATTAATTATAATCGTTCAGTTCAATTTAACTTATCTACTCTATCTTATTCCTAAAACATGCCATATCGCTTGCTGTTGTCCAAGCACCTAGGCATGCCCAAACCAAAAAAATGCCATAGCGCACAACTTAAAAAAAAATTCTTTCACACAAGCAATAACCGTGACAATGATCAAATAGAAAAACTTCTACAACGACTAAATTCATCAAAATTAAAGTTTACAATGGAAAATCAACTGACAATAAACTACCATTTCTAGACGTACTAATACAAAATGCGCAAAATGAATTTAAAACCTCAGTAACCAAAGCCAAAGCAACAAACAAAGTTTATGCTTTAATGGATAATGGATATGGTGAATGTTGTCAAACATATCTAGAGAGTACGATTTCTGCTTTTGTAAACCGAGCCTATAAGCAGGAGAACAGAATGGATTGAGTCGCTAAGCTACTCACTAATAATGGATATAAAAATTCCATGATCCAGAAAATAATAGAACGCAAAGAACCAATAATCAGCAACAACCACAATGCAACCAACAATATTAACCAAATAACATGGTAATATATTATGAGAATCACATGTCAACCGCTTTTAAAAAGTATGAAATAATCATGAAGAGAATCATAAAAATAATGTCCAAGCACCAAACGAAAACGATAGTATTAAACTACGAATATACTACTCACTCCAACCAAAAAACGTTATTAGGAATGTATGGAGTAAGGAACTTGTTTAGATATTTGTTCAAAGTGAATACTTAACGCTCATTTGTTATTCATCAAAGAACCTCATCTCTTGTTATGAAAAACAACCGCACTATTAAACCGGAATCCACAATGGATCATAGCCATCTAATATATTTGTTCAGATGTAGCATTGGTGAGTGTGGGCATTAATTCCGAATATATTGGTATGACGACGACCAAGTAATCGAGAAGACTTACGATGCACGTACAAACCGGTGTTATAAAGAAGCACAAAATTAAAATTACTAGACAAATCTTGGACCACAATGTTGAAATCTTACATTACAATTGCAGCTATTATAATTTACAACTAGCCGAATCAATACTCATAGAACAAAGACATCCGATAATAAATATTTAACAACGTGCGAATCAATACTCATAGAACAAAGACATCCCATAATAAATATTTAACAAGGTGCACTTGGAATCCTTCCTACTAATAAATTTAGAAACAGAGGAATCATCGATAATGAAAACACTTAAAAGTGTTATATTGGACGAAGTTGATGATTGTAAAACTAATTAAATGAGCGTTAAGTATTCGCTTTAAACAAACAAGAAATCAACAAAGTAGAGACACGGTATATATAAACATATTGCAGAATTATGAAATAACTAAAAAGACTTCAAAGTCCTTCAATTATTCACTCGATAGGTGGCTGATGCAAAGTTAATTCACTCGATAGGTGGCTAGACGATTTTTTTTAGATAACGTTTTTGCAATGTAAATGACGTCATAAGTTTTTACAATTTGTTTTAAAAATTGAATTAGTAGTTTTTTTGATTAATTTGTCAGACATATCACCTTGGGAAATTTTTAAGTTTAAAAACACCCGAAACAAAATTTAAGTTTTCTTTGATATAGGGTTTCTTTATCATTAATAGGTGGGAGTCGTTGGTTGACTGATTAGGCAGCCTTGAATAATCGGTGCCTATTCTGGTATCTAAGAGACTTAATTCGTGATTCTATGATCATTGGCGTAGTTTTGGTAACGTCTTATGTCTTCAAAAGTGGATTTGGTACGAGATTCTATGCTCATTGGCAAAGCTTCGCACGCGTACTAAAGTCACACATTTTGTACCCAGTGTTGTTCTCACTCTTGTTGTTTGGTGTTAGTTGTGCGAAAGCCGACCAGACTCGACGGCCCAGTGAAAACAGGCCCGGGTTGTGCGAAAGCCAACCGATTGACTGACTGACAGGCCCAGTGAAAACAGGCCTTGGGTTCTGTGAAAACGAATCTGCTTCGTTGTTGGGATCCAGCGAAAGCAAATCCTTTTGTTGTGCTATTTGTGGACCTAGGGTTCTTTGCTGGATTCTATACTCATTGGTATAGTTTCGTACGTAGCTTGGAATTCTCATGGGCTCCGATTTTTTGTAATCTTTCTTCATTCATTTCATTTATCTCTCGGAGTTGTATCAGCACCACCATCGGTCACACACGTCGAGGTTGTACGATTGAACGGCAACATAACCCAAGTTGCCCGAACCCAACAATAAGAAGTTCTAATTCCTGTATTCCAGTTCGTTCATTGACATATTATTTTTAAAATTATTCTAGAGTTCAGTTAGTTCAATTTTTTTCACTTATTGTCGTCGATTAATAAAATTGTTATCGAATATTTTACGCTTCGTGTGTTACTCAGTAAAATCATTAAATTCGAAAAAGCCCAGTGCCACACAGGACTGGTCGAACTCACGATAAAAATATACAAAAATTATTATTGTCGGACCATAAAAAAAATTCCCTAAGAAAGATAGAGAAAGAGATTTCGCCCGTGCCGCGAACAAACACTGAAACGCACAGACACCACACACACAAACAAATCTCCAACAATATATATATTTGAGCATCTGGCTATAAGCACAACGTATGAATTAGAACACCGAAGATGGTAGAGGAATACCGAAAAAAGCCGTTTGTTTTATCATGCTTAAAATAAATTGTGTTTTATTGAGTTGGTTTTGAACTCAAGAAACTTGAGAATGATTTGCTGTTAGAATTAATCACGGCTTATAGTGATTGTGTGTGTTGAGTCCAAATTAGATTTGACAGCACCACTCTGTTTATGCATCGTAAGTCATATATCCATTGTTTACAAGCAGGTTAGTGACTCTTTTTAATGCAGCATCGCGATTTTCAATATCGGAAGAGTCTGTGAATGTCCGGTTTACAAATGATTTTATTGTGCTCTCTTTAAATTGTTCGGTACATTCGCTTTGTCCATTCAAACAAATTCCTGTATTTGTTTCTTTGAAATAGACCGCAGTTTTGAATCGTTCTTCGCCACGGGTGACCAATACATCGAGAAAAGGTAAACGTTGTTCTTTATCAATTTCAATGGTAAATCTTAATTTTGATTTGTTTATGGTACCAAGAAGTTGGGTGATTAGTTCAGGATCGTTATAGGAAAAAAGATATCATCAACGTATCTAGCGTAGATATTTGGTTTTAAATTTGCATTGTTTTTGAAGGTCTCATTCTCCAGATGTCCTAGGTAAAAACTGGCAAATAGGACGCCAAAGGGGATCCCATAGCGACACCGTTGATTTGCTTGTAAAGTTTGCCTGTGGGGCTGTGGAATGGTGCTTCGGTAGTGCAAATTTGAAGAAGGGACTTCAGTTGTGCTTTCGGTATGCTCAATGGAACCATATCTGAGTGGTAAACGGTGTTGATAATTATGTCGATTGTATCATGAATTGGTACATTTGTGAATAGTGATTCAACATCCAGAGAGGCAATAAATTTGGATGGTTTATTAATGCTGAGGAAATTAATAAACTCACGGGAAGATTTTAGTGTGTAATTGTTTGGAATATATGGGATTAAAATTTTGTTCAAGAATTTTGCGACAGGGTATGTGACTGTTGTAATTTGGCTAATAATTGGTTGGATGGGATGATTCTTTTTATGCGTTTTTCCATATAAGTAGCCAGGAGAGTATTCGCCTATAAGTGATGGAAGTTTGTCATCGGTGATGTGCTT